ATGCTCCGTGTGACCGCAGCCTTAGTTATGTTTCCTGTCATATGGTGGAAGTGATATTGTAATCACCAATCTAATATGGAACTAATGGGTAATATAAGTGATGCTACAGAGACAGACAGTGAAACAGAAGTGCCCCAGAGAACTCTGTGGAAGAGAGTTAAATTCGTTTGAAACAGATGAGTGGACACATCCCTGGCATTTGATGCACAGTTTTTAGTGTGCTAATTCCGGGAGATCTCCTGCCCATGCCAGGAGGTCTCCAGGTCATTCTGGGAGATTCCCCGGCTTGTCGAGGGGGCCCGAATATCCCCTACTTCCACCCATTCCAGGTGCTGGGGTCCGAAATCTACCCATTTCACCAGATATAACAATTTTCCACGTTTGATCTTAGAGTCCAATATTTTAGAGATCTCATAATGTTCCTCGCCCTCAATCATGATAAGAGGGGGCACCGGTGCCGCAGGACGCCACTTGCTGGAACCAGAATCATTTTTCAGGAGGCTGAAATGAAATACAATTTCCTCAAGTTTTTAGGCAGGTCCAGCTCTACTGCTACATCATTGATAACTTTTTAAACCTTAAACGGCCCAATATATTTCCAACCCAATTTTCTACTCGGCCGTAGCATCTGAATATTTTTTGTGGATACATACACCGAATCACCAGGCTGCAGAGCCCAACCCTCCACCCTTCTCTTATCAGCCTGCACTTTATAAGCCTCCTTAGCAGCATTTAACGTCTTACACAGAAGTGGCCAAGAGTCACGATTTACACCAGTTGCTGGCATCGCTAGAATCTAAGGCCCGTTTCCCTTCCAACAATGGCATTGGCGGGCTGTCATAACCATACAGCGCCTTGAACGGGGACATCCCCGTGGAAGAGTGGCACGTATTATTATAACAGAATTCAGCCAGAGGCAATAAGTCATTCCAATCGTCTTGTTGGTAGTTGGTAAAACAATGAAGATATTGTTCCAAAGTTTGATTCACACATTCTGTTTGCCCGTCAGTTTCTGGGTGGTAAGCACTGCTAAGGCCCTGTTCCACCCCCATCAGTTTCATTAGCTCCCCCCAGAACCGGGAAACGAACTGGGTCCCCCTATCGGAGACCACCTAGTTGGGGAGCATGTGCAAGCGCACCACGTGCACCAGAAACACCTTTGCCAGTGCTTTAGCCGTAGGCAGTGAGGGAAACGGGATGAAGTATGCTTGCTTAGAAAATAAATCAACCACCACCCATATCACAGTCATCGATTTACTCGGTGGTAGATCGCTTACAAAATCCATGGATATAACCTCCCAGGGTCTGCTTGGAGTAGGAAGCGGGTGTAACAGTCCCGGGGGTTTCCCCGGCCTGGCTTTGCTCATGGCACATATTTGGCAGGATTGGATATAAGAAGATAAATCCTTCCACATTTTTGGCCACCAAAATTCTCATTGCAAAAGTTGAAGTGACTTAACAAATCCCGGGTGTCCCAACAGTTTGGAGCCATGCACCGCTTGTAATACCTCCCTCCTGAGTGCAAGGGGAACGAACAGTTTATGTTCCCGGTACCAACAGCCATTGTCCCGTAGTTCAAAATCACCCTTTGCATCTAGAACTGCTTTGTCGCACTCCGAGAACGCGGAGGTGAACTTACTGTGCCAAGTGTCCATCCCCCCCCCTCCTGACTTGAAGGAGTTGGTTGCATCGGCACAGGGGGTGGAGTAGTGAGGCGTGCCTGTTTGCGTGTCGTCACCGCCCTGCCCAGCTGGGAAGGCGTGAACACAGAGTCCAGGATCACCTCCTGTTGGCTATCGTGTTGGGGTAGGCGGGACAGTGCGTCCGCCAACGAATTCGCCGAGCCTGGGAAGTGATGAAGGGTGAACTGGAATTTGGAAAAGAAATCTGCCCATCGAAGCTGTTTGGCATTGAGACACCGAGGCGTTTTGAGTGTTTCTAAGTTCTTATGGTCAGTCCACACCTCGAACGGGACTCTCGCTCCCTCTAACCAATGCCTCCAAGTTGACAGTTGGAGTTTTATTGCCCCCGCCTCCTTCTCCCACACAGACCAGTTCCGTTCAGTGTTATTAAATTTCCTAGACATGTATGCCAAGGAATGAAGCAACCCATCCCCTCCCTCCTGGAGGATGCCCCCCCATGGCCACATCTGACGCATCTGTTTGCACAATGAACTTTTTAGTCTCATCCGGGTGAGCAAGAATGGGTTCCGAAGTGAACAAGGCTTTAAGGCGTTCGAAAGCCTCCTGTCATTCTTTATTCCAAGCAAACGCTGCTCCCGGCTTTGTAACCTCCGGGCCCTTCCCCTTAATTTTTAGCAGAACCGTCAGGGGTAAACTGACCTGGGCAAAATTGGCTAAAAAGTTTCTGTAAAAGCTCGCGAATCCTAAGAAGGATTGGAGCTGGCGTCGGGTGCAGGGTACCCCCCACCCCAATACATCCTGCACCTTTCCTGGATCCTCCAGACCCTTGTCTGAGATTTGATATCCCAAAAAGTCAATGTGTGTCTTATGAAACTCGCACTTAGATAGTTTTGCAAACAGTTTGTGCTTGTGTAATGTGGTTAACACCTCTCTCACCAATTTCACGTGGGATGGGAGGTTGGGGGAGTACAGCAAGATGTCATCTATGTAAACAAGGGCCCCCTTGAACAAATGCTTGTGCAACACCTCATTGATCAAATTCATGAAGACCCCCGGGGCCCCCTGAAGTCCGAACGGCATCACTCGATATTTGAATTGCCCGAGAGGGGTATTGAACGCTGTCTTATGCTCATCCCCCTCTCTGATGTCCACGCGAAAGTACGCATCTCGGAGATCCAGCTTAGAAAAGATTTTCCCTTTAGCAGCTTCTGCTAATAGATCTTTGATAAAAGGCATGGGATAGGCATTAGTTGATGACACTGCATTTAGACCCCTGTAATCCGTGCAGAGTCTCAGCCCCCCGTCCTTTTTCTTCCAGAACAAGACCGGGGCTGCATATGGGGATGTGGCTGGTCTGATGAAACCACGGGCCAGATTCTTGTCTATGAACTTGCGCAGTTCATGTTTCTCCGCTGGCCCCATGGCATAAATGCGCCCTTTAGGGAGTTTCTGGCCAGGCAATATTTCAGTGCTACAGTCTGAATGTCTATGATGGGGGAGCTCATCAGCTTCTTCCTCCTCAAACACCCTGGCCAGATCCCGGTACTCGGGGGAAATGGATAACAGTTCCTCCTGGGCCAGACACACTCTAGGGGATTCTGCAATAGGTTGCTGGCCCCAATTCGGGTCCCACCTGGGTGAGATGAACTGTACCTTCCCTTCGTCCCACAGTATGTAGGGATCGTGCCCGTGCAGCCTCCTAGGACCAGCGGGAATCTAGCGGCTGGGGTGATCACGAACGGCTGTTCTTCCCAATGATCCCCCGCCCCCAACCTCAATGGTACAGTCTCGTATTCACAAGGTTCTTTCATAGTAGTTTCATAGTTACCCATCCATTTGGGTAAAAATCAACGGGTCTTCCAGCTTTACCACCTCCGCCTCCAACCCCGTAACAAGGGAGGGGTTGATAAGATCCCTCCCACACCCCGAGTCAATGAAAGTCACCATCATGAAAAACAAGGGGGGGAAGCTGCTCACCACTTTTGGCGCCTCCAGGATCGGGTCTTCCTGATCCACGCCTCTTACAGCAGGACCTGGCCTTTTCCCGCCGGCTCAGGATCGTCTTCGCTGGAGTCGTGTTCCAAGCCTTCCAGAGTGGCATCCCAACCTCCATGGCAGCATAGCTGACAGAAGGGAACTGAAAACAAATCAGCCACTATCATAATGCCCCTGTACAAATCGATGGTTCAACCTCATTTGGAATACTGTGTACAGTTCTGATCACTGCACCTTAAAAAGATATTATAGCATTGGAAAAGGTGCAAAAAATGATTAAGGGGATGGAACATTTTACAAAATTATGAATGTGATAGAGAAGGCAGAGAAAGAAGTACTTTTCTCCCTTTCTTACAATACAAGAACTCATGGGCGCTCAATGAAATTGATGAGCAGTAGGTTTAGAACAGATAAAAGGAAGTACTTATTCACCCAAAGAAGATTTAACACATGGAATTCATTGCCACAGGAAGTGGTGGCAGCTACAAGCATAGACAGCTTCAAGAGGGGATTGGATAAACATTTGGAGCAGAGGTGTATCAGGGGCTATTAGCCACAAGGTATAGACAGAACACTATGTCTGGGGTAGTGATGTTCTGTATTCTTGGTGCTTGGGGGGCCACAGTGGGAGGGCATCTGGAGTTCTGGCTCCACTGGTGGACCTCCCGATGACACCTGGGTTTTTGCCACTGTGTGATACATAATGTTGGACTGGATGGGCCATTGGCCTGATCCAACATGGCTTCTCTTATGCTCTTAAATTCTTTTTTTAAACAAGATATTCCTGATTAATCAGGGAACAAATATAAAGAATGAGTTTTAATGAAAATACTTACAGAAGCTACAGATTGCAGAGGCTGTCTAAAGGGGAAGCACTTTCCTAATTTCTTGCACTGGAGGAATTTCTGTTTTATGATGGTGCAGCATATGTACATATTGTCTAAAAATGAAGTTTGTACACTATACATAGATATAATCAATGGGAGCTGAAGTTGTAAACACAATTACTAGGGAGTAAGTCTCATTGAGCTCAATAACTTATGAGCAAACATGCTTAAGGATTTCAGTGCATGATTCTTTTAATCAGATGACAGCTCTAGAAAAATATCGTATTACACCTGCTGCCCTGTTTAAAATCTTCTGTGTTAAAATATAATTTGAGTAAATATTGGTGGTTCAACAAATATCAGACTAATATGGAGAGGCACAGTTTGTATGTTCCAGCATTATTTTTCAATTTTCATCAGTGTAAAATGTAGTAAGTTGACTGTTTACAGATGCAGCTTATTATACAAATAACCCTTCAGTGTTCTATAATTTATCTCCAATAACTTCTTTAAAGATTCTTTATGCCTTTCCTAGCCGCCACCAGGAAATGTCAAAATTCCCAACGTTCCCAGTACACAACCAGCTATAATGAAACCGACAGAGGAACCGCCTGCTTATACTCAAATTGCAAAGGTATATCTAATATTTGATACTTTTTATTTAGTAGTATTTCATTCCTCTCTTCTTCCAAGGAGGCTGAGATGGCATACACCTTTGATAGGACGACTTTGAGAGGAATGAGTGGCCCCAAGTCACCTGTCAAGTTTCATGATAGGCAAAGGTTTGAACCTCAGTCTTTCCACGTTTAGATCAACACATTGACCAGTATAACACACTGGCTTCCAGTATTATCTGTGTTATTGATAACTAAGGCTGCAATCCTAAGAACAGTGTCCTGGGAGTAAGCCTTATTGAATAAAATGGAAATTACCTCTGAGTAGACCTGTTTATGATTGCTCTTAACGAATTCAAAAATGTGGAATTTAACTGTTTTAAGAGCTTTTTCTTTTATCGTCTCCTAATACGTTTTTCCTCAGGAACATGCCTTGGCCCAGGCTGAACTGCTTAAACGTCAGGAAGAATTGGAAAGGAAAGCAGCTGAAATGGATCGGAGGGGAAGAGAAATGCAGAGCCTCCACCAAACAGGCGGTATGATTTGCAAATTTCTTGTACAAAAATAATAGGCTGCATTTCTTTTAATTATTGTACCCATGGAAACCATTTAATTCATTGTCTACAGTTGGTTTAAACTAATATATGAACTCTGAGGCTCATATCTATCTTTCCTTAAAAACAAAAATGTCGTTGAGTATCTGTCGTTTTGTGCTTGCCTTGTTATACTTGAAGCTTCAGATTGAAAATGTGGAGCGATTTTCTGTAAAATTTGAGAAACTAGCCATCCCAGCATTTGCTCATAGCAGAAGTATATTTGCATCACTGGTGACCAAGATAATTCATACCATAATATTCCCTGTTACTATGTATGGGTGCAAAAGGTGGACGATGAAGAAAGCTGACAAGAAGAAAGTTGATTTATTTGCAATGTGGTGTTGGAGGAGAGTTTTATGGATACTGTGGCTTGCCAAAGAGACAAGATTCTAGGTCAAGTCAAGCCTGAACTCTCCCTAGACGCTAAAATGACTAAACTGAGGCAATTGTACTTCGGTCACATTATGAGAAGACAAGAGCCACTGGAAAAGACAATAATGCTAGGAAAAGTTGAAGACAGCAGGAAAAGAAGAAGGCCCAGCATGAGATGGCTTGACTCAATAAAGGAAGCCATGGCCCTCGGTTTGTAAGATCTAAGCAAGGCTGTTAACAATAGGACATTTTGGAGGTTATCAATTCACAGGATTACCATAAATTGAAAGCGACTTGACGGTACTTAACACCAGCAGTATACTTGATTTTAAATGTCCCCAGTTAAACTTGAATAGCTGGATAAATAACAGCAAATGTACAAAACAATCTCTGAATCGTAATAAATTATATTTTGTCTTATTTGAAAAGTCATACATTATTATGTAAGAGAGCCAGTTTGGTGTAGTGGTTAAGTGCGCGACCTCTAATCTGGGAGAACCGGGTTTGATTCCCCACTCCTCCACTTGCACCTGGCTGGATGACCTTGGGCAAGCCGTAGTTCTGGCACAGGTGTTCTTGAAAAAGAGCAGTTTCTATCAAGAGCTCTCTCAGCCCCACCTACCTCACAGGGTGTCTGTTGTGGGGAGGGGAAGGGAAAGGAGTTTGTAAGCCGCTCTGAGACAATTTTGGGTAGTGAAGGGCGGGGTATAAATCCAATCTCCTCCTCCTCCTCCTCCTCCTCCTCTTCTTCCTACAAAAGATTTCAATTAGTTTAAGTTTAAGAAAAACATAATGTTTTCCAGTATCTCATCATATTGTTCTTATTTTTATTAAATCAGGACTTTTATTTCATGGTAATATGCTTTGCATTAGTCTAGGTAACAGAACAAAAGATAACTAGCTGAATTTTGTTATCTACTAAGAGTTTTTATATCATTCTTGATACTGCTAACAAGCTAGTCATAACAATCAGAAGTGCCACCACTGTGGTTTGGATTCTGGATTGAGGACTTTATTGGATTATCTCAAGCATCAGCATTTGTTTCATTTATTCCTTTTGAATATGTTCCCTGCAGGAAAATGTATGTTTTAATGATGGAAGTGCAGAGTAGGTTTTGTTTTACATAGTACATTGAACAATGAAAGATAACTTGAGGCTTGCTTTTAGGCATTACAAAAATATAACGTGTGAAGTGGCTGTAAATACTGAATAAAGCTTTCCTCTTGCAGGAAGGAAAAACAATTGGCCTCCACTACCTGGAAATTTCCCAGTGGGTCCTTGTTTTTACCAGGATTTCTCTGTTGACATCCCTGTAGAATTTCAGAAGACAGTAAAAATTATGTACTACTTGTGGATGTGTAAGTAAATTCCAATGTATGTACATTTAGTGTTTGAATATTACATTTACATGACATTTGTATCAGTGTTCCTACTTGCTAACAGAAAATCTTTGGTGGATAGGAACCCGTTGTTCAATCTAACATTTAAAAGATTTCATACGTGTTGGCATTAATGTTGGAGATTTTAAACATTTGGCAATTTTTTTACAAATACATTTTTCTTTTGGGAAATATACAACTGGTGAAAAAATTGCTCAAGACTTTTAATATACATTTACCAGAATTATCTGTAGTTTTCTTTATGAATGTAGCTGCACAGATTTGCATTTATGTGTTGTAAATTTGTTTAAAATATGCCCGACACCCATATGGCATGGATATGTGTCAATGAAACACATTTGCAGTAAAATATTCTGGTATCAGTTCACTCACTCCTGTTCATTCACATCAGTAAATCCTTACCCACACTGTCCTGATTCATATTTCTCCCCATTTCAAAAATGTCTCCTGTTGCTACTATGCTTCATAATTACTAGAGCATCTTCAGATATGTAGTTGTAAATGGATGGATGTGTGTCACCTGGGACTTGATGTGTAAAGTGAAAATGTCTGAATTCTTTCATCGCTCTGCCCTTCAAGCTGCACCAACATGGCAGCATCTAAAGTAGATGAAAATGTGCCTCCCCTCCTTCCAACTTTGTAGGACTATATGATTAATTAATGTTGGCTTAAGAGTTTCCCTAAGAAGTTAATTATTTTGCCCTAAATTTATTTTTAATGTTTGAGATCTGTCATCATAAGCCATGCTAATAGCCTGATCTGAACTGTCCACTTTGGCTGTTTTGACAATTACAGCTAGCTTCCAGTGTTGAACAGGGAAATAGCTGGCCCAGATCCCTTACTACTAGGGTATAGTGCCCTTAATTTCAGTCTTAATGAGCTTTTAGTACATCATGTTTCATGGATGCCCATGCCTTTCTTTCTTTCTGTCTGTCTGCCTGTTGCATTTTTGTCCCACTCTTCCGCTGAAGAGTTCAGGGCAGTGCATGTGGTTCTCCCTACCTCTGCACAACAACCCTGTAACATAGGTGGGACTGAGAGTATGTGGCTGGTCTAAGGTCCAAATGAACTTCATGTTAAGTGGAACTTAAGGTCCAAATGAACTTCATGGATTTAAGTGGGTTTACGAAGTCCTAGCCAGCACTCTGAACACTACAACACACTGACTTTTATGGCCTTAGGACAGTCAGCAGTGATTAAGACTTGTGCTTACAGAAAATTAATTCCCATTAGAATCACTTAATTCTAAGTTAAGATCTTTAAACTTGGAATATTAAGTAAGACTTGTTTGAGCTTCAGGCAGTAGTACATAGGTAAAGGATGCTTTCAATGTGTGTGTATATCTATGTCTATATATAAAATGAAAAACATGTACACTTTTACATTCGTTCACTACTCTATCCCTCAAAGTTGGGGCAATTCATAATTAAATAATTAAAAACATACTACAATGAATTTGACTGGAAGATTGGTCACATCAAAGTTTTACATCACTTTCCCACAGTAGTTTTTTATTTTACCATTCTGTCATCCTACCTTACTTTGCTTTAGAAATCTTAACTCTTTATACATAAAAAGAAAGCTTCAAAGACACAAAAACTATCCAATGAGCACACACCCCACTCCCTTCCCCAACTGTCTGGTCAAGACATTATCATTATGGGAAAATACAGCTGGACTAATATGATTAAAATGTTGTATATGTAGACAGAATGAGGCATATCTTATTTGTGGCTAAGTGAAATTAAGAAAAATTGTCCAGATTAATAAAAATTATGTCTATTCTAGCCTGATGTCTGCTTGCTCTTAACTCACATATCTTTTCCATGTTACAGACTTCACCATTTGCCACTCGCGCTTTAAAAGCCAGTTGTATGCAAAAGTGGCCTGTATTCAACTAAACATCTGTGGAAGGTGCACAGAGTTTTCTTGTGTTCGTCTCTGTTCCTGCAGCCATTTCTGAGTCCTTGAAAGGTCATGGGACCTGCATGGGGAAATATCTGCATGGGCTAGGGAGGCTACAGTGAAGAAAGGGAAGGAGGCGAAATTGTCCTCTTCTGTCATGATAGCTGTACTCAGGGGTCTTGTTGTAGAAAAAGAGCTACCGGAGCTCATTAGCATAACTCATTAGCATAACTTATTTGCATATGCCACGCCCCCTGACATCACCGGAAGTGACAGAAGGCCACACCCCCTGACATCACCGGAAGTGTGTCAGAAGGCCCGGCTACTTACCCTCCTGCTTCATCCTCATTCCCAAACGGAATGAGGATCGAAGCAGAGGGCGGGGTTAAGTAGGGGGCGGGGCTTCACCACGTGACCGCCCCGCCCCCTGGAGGTTCTCTTCCGGAGCGGCGCTCCGGATCGCTCCCCCCCGACTAGAGCCCTGGCTGTACTTATAGAACACACAGAAGGAGCAACTTCATCCCTTTCCTTCTCTTCACTGCAGCCCCCTGACACATTTGGCTATTCCTCCATATTGGTCCCATATCTCCAGCAGTGATTTTTCTGGGGATCAGAAGGGGCTTCAGGGATCTAGAGGACTGTAGAAAATTAAGTGTTCATGCTTGCTTAGTTATAGGTTAGTGAGGACAGTAAGCTAGTTTTAGAATATGTGCTAGTGTTTGGTGTCAACCACATTGAGCAGACATAAAAACCAGCCAGCTGCCCTGTGAATGTACTGAGTGCATGATAGACATATTCCTGGTAGTGTGGCAAAGCCTAACCCTACATCAACATGTAAATAATCTAAGTTTCCCTTTATTAACATCACAAAATACCCCTGTAGGAAAGTGATATAAAACTTTGTTATGGCCAGTCTGCTATCACCAGTTCTGCTTTCCAAAGTCATACTGAAGGTTATGTCTAGAAGAAGTACATGCAGCTGCTCACAATCTTTTTTGTTTAATTTATAAGAAGTAAAAAATGTCTTTAGCAGTGTAGTCTTTGAATATATCTAATTATAGGGTAGGGTAGTGTTCCTGTATGCATTTACTGGCCTGGCTCTCAGTTAAATAGTATCTGCAAAAGTCTGTATCCAATAATTACTGTAGAAATGTCAGCTACTAAAGCAGGAAACATTGTAATGATTTTAAACTTGCTGGAAATTCTGTTCCATATGTGCATTCTTCACTCATCATTTTTAAGCATCACTGCAACTAATGGCTGCTATGAAAAGGTTGATTTTTTATTTTAAATATATAATGAATGATATCAAGCTAGGAAACTAGCTCATTATAGATCAGCTTAAAATCATGGTTTAAATTATTTAAATTGCAATGAAAAAGTCCAATTACTGGTTTAAATAAGTTTTCAATTCATATATTTCACCTTCTGTATCCTATTACTTGCATCTGTTTAGAGACAAAGGAAGTGACAGCAAGAATGAGAATTTCTGTTTAGCTCTGTGAACACTTGCAGGAGCATTTCCTTGAGGACTAAAAATTAGATCCAATTATTAGTAATACTCTGCTTGTATAATGGTGCTGTTCTGCCTCTCAGTTCTTGCTACAGCCCATGGGGTCCTCTGGAAATTTGCTACTGGACTGAGGGGTCCTTGGGGATGGTGTTGGACATGATGCAAGAGGCTGCAGTTAAAGGGGAAATTTGCAGAAACTGTGGACACACATCCCCTTTGCAGGCTTTTAAGTGAATGAACATGGTAGTTGGTCAGCATTCTAAACTAGTTTTGTACAACAACATACAAGACCTATTATGTCATATTTAAAGTTATGCTTTGATCCCTGGTTGTATTACACAGAAGACAGTCTTTAAAATGGCAGTTCCGTGTGCTGCAGCAGTGAAAAAGGCAAACTCTACGTTAGGGATTGAACATAAAATGGCCAATAATATAATGTCCATGTATAGATCTATGGTGCAGCCTCCTTTGGAATACTGTGTACCGTTTTGGTCACCATATCTGAAAAAGGACATAACAGAGCTGAAAAAAGTACAGAAGAGGGCAGCCAGGATAATTGGGAGGTTGGAGCACCTTTCCTATAAGGAAAGGCTGAAGAGTCTGGGACTTTTCAGTTCAGAAAAGAGATGACTAAAGGTGCACATAGTAGAGGTTTATAAAATTACACACAGAGTTGATAAAGATAACTTTTTCACACTCTCCCAAAATATTAGAACTCGAGGGCATCCAATGAAGCTGATGGGCAGTAGATGCAGGACAGACAAAAGGAAACACTTCTTTACACAGAGAATGATTAAAATGTGGAATTCATTGCCAGAGGATGTAGTGAAGGCTACAGGCATAGATAGCTTTAAAAGGGGATTATATAGATTCATGGAGGATAAGTCTATTAATGGCTTTTAAAAAACATGGACATTGATGGGTGTTCATTTTTTAAAAAATCTATTATGCAAAATGGTTATAGTGGTCAAATTTTGATATGATTGTGGAATTGGCATACTTTTACGTTTTTACATCTAATAGATAATATTTCTAAAAATTGTGGACATTCAATATATGCATACCTGTGTTTTTTGTAGTCCACGCAGTAACACTATTTCTTAACATCTTTGGATGTCTGGCCTGGTTTTGCTTGGAGCCGAAGCGAGGAGTTGACTTTGGACTGAGCATTCTCTGGTTCTTGCTTTTTACTCCTTGTTCATTTGTCTGCTGGTACAGACCACTTTATGGAGCCTTCAGGTAACAGTTTCCATCTAGTATGTAATTAGTGCTATTAAGACTCTACATTATGTAACTGATTTTCAATCATCTTCTTGTCACTTAACTAGTTTTTAGAACTTTTCATGTGAATTCTAGAACTCAAGGGCATCCAATGAAGTTTGGTAATTTTTAAAGTAACTAGCGGTTGGCTAATTACTAGTCTTGCAAACATTGCTTTGTTACTGCTTTTATAAACAGTGATGATGTGGGTTGGCTAAATGAGTCTGTATGAAACTCATCTATCTAACTCACCAATTTACAGTTCCATTTTTCTTATGAAAGATCATATGAGCTCATTATAAGTGTATTTTTTCTGGTTTTATTAAAGTAAATCTTTGGCTGTCTTTTACTCTGAATTATGTTAATTTGGGGTTAAATCCAAGGCCTGTGAATGGAACAGATGTGTCCCTCTCTTGTCCCCTCCATGTAGCCTCCCTAAAAGCCCCCAAAATAGCTACTGGGTGTTGGTGGACTCTCATACAGGATGTGCTGCGACTTGGAGTTCTGCAGTGGGGAGAATCAGCAAAAATCACTCTACTTGCAGGAGATGGAATTTGGACGTATCCCATAGTTCTACAATTGAAACTATATTTTAAAATATTAGACAAAATCATGTTATCTCTTGCTAACTGTATGTGCTTTCTTTTAAAAATGAATAAATATTGTTAGCTGCATTAATATATGTGGCTAGGGATGGGCACAAACTGGGAAAATGCAGTTCATTTCAGTTCATGGTTCATGGAGTTCCCAGTTCATGAGCCACAAACCGTCATGAACCTTTAAGAACTAAATGAACCAGTTCGGTTTGTGACACAGTAAATAGCCCCCAGTGTGCTAGAGACACCAAACTTGCATGGGATCTCCAGCTGACTCCCCTACTTGCCCCCCAAGTCTGAGTTACAACTCCTCAAAGAAGGTGCCCTCATCCTCCATTGTTTCTAATGGAGGGGAAAAACCAGCAAAAAGAGCAAGGGTAATAGAAGCCCAGCAGAACAGAGTCAAAGTTCCACAGAATCTCTGCAGTAGAAACTGAAGATGGGGGCATTTTTGCAAGCTGAGCAGAACCAATGCAATGTGCCCAGCAGAACTAGTGCCAGTGTGGCACTACAAACTCAACAGGACTAAGGTCAAACTGCAGAATCTCTGCAGTAAAAACTGAACGGGGGGGGGGGGCTTTTTGCAAGTCCAGCAGAATCAGTTCAATGTACTAGTGCCCAGTAGAACACCATGCCATCATGACCATACCAGCTTAACAGGACTAATGTCTAGCACAGAATCATACTTCCAAGCACGGGGGGAGGGGTTTTGCATCCCAACAAAACCAGTGCAGTGTACTAGTTGAAGCCAGCTGGGTGACCTTGGGTCAGTCTCAGTTCTCTTAGAACTCTCTCAGCTCCACCCACCTCACAGAGTGTATTGTGGGGAGAGGAAGGGAAGGCAATTATAAGTTGCTCTCTAACTCCAGGTAGTGAACAGCGGGGTATAAAACCAATTCTTCTTATTCTTCTTTGTGCCCAGCAGAACCCAGTGCCAGTGTGGCAATGCCAGCTCAATCACATTACAAGCAAGGGAGGCATTTTGCAAGCCCAGCAGAACCAGTACAATGTCCAGAGTGCCTAGCCATAGCAGTGCAACCACAGAGTGTCCAGCAGAACCCAGTACCACTGGCATTGCAAGCTTAAAAGGACTGATCTCAAAGCACAAAGTCACAGAGATTTTGCAAGCTCTGTGCAAGAAAATGGAAAGTGAACACTAAGGAACACAGGCAAAGGGAAGGAACCCCCTTGAAACTGACATGACTAGTTTGAAACTGAAAACAGTTTATTTTATTTATTTTATTTATTGGGATTTTTACCCCGCTCGTGGGGAGGGCAAGGTATAAATATAATGAAATAAATAAATAAATACCCCACCCTCCCCGCGAAACGGGCTCAGGGCAGCTTACAAGGGGCAAAGCCTATATAAAACAGGATAAAAGCAATAAAAACATTAATAA